CAACAACTTTGAAAACTGTGAGCTGCTTATAGTAATCTGAATGATATTACGCGTACGCAATACGGCATTTGAAAGTCACAACTGTAGATGCTAGACTCAGAGCATAAGATCCACGAAAAACCTCATATTGATCCAGAAGGATCATTGTTGGTGATGAAGTTTCATCGGTGCAAACCCGTATAAATTCAACCATATGACCACATCCCAAATGATCGGCTAAAATGATCCATTTCTCGTCTGAATCCAAAAGCTTCGCTAACCGTAATCGCGTCAAATAGTCCATTGCTGAGATATCATCTGAAAAATGTTTCCGGTCACTAACATTACAATCAATTTGAACAAATTTCCACACATCATCCAAAAAATATCTTCGTGCATAGAAAAACTATTTTGTTTTTTGAGTTCATATCCCAGTCTGAGTCCTTTTATATCAAGTCATTTGCGAGAGTACAAGAAAACAGTCCGAAGCTCGTTGGATATATCTTGAGCCATGATGGCTACACAATAGCGAAATCGTCGCTTCGGAATGAATTATTGATTTGACGAGATAATCAAAGTGGATTATCAATTATCGCATTATCAATACCATATGGAGTAGCCTAACCAATTACAATTCGTTAGAATTGTAGCTGTCAGAAAGCGTTGAAGTCGCCTCAACAACACTTTAAAACGCTTGTTAGGTAAAAAATTCCGTTTAGGTAAATCTTGGTTGGATATATCTTGATATATCCCGTTTAGGTAGCTTTTATGGGGTACTGATCGATTCTGTACCTGTATTAAGTGAACGTATTCGATAGGATAACAGAGCATCATCTTCAGAATCGTTGCCGTGCGATGCAGTTGCTTCCGATGCAAGAGCATCATTCGCTTGTAGTGCCGACGACGTCTCCTCAGTTTGTATCCGTTCACCATCCAATATCTTCTTCACATCCTCATCCTCATCACCGTATTCTGCTGCTTTCTTACCACCTCAACCAAACATAATTACTTCGAATTAAGATGGATAGCTAAGATGGAAAGTATCTACTGGTTTAACGTTCGTTCACTCGTTTCATTAGATATTGTCCGTAAGCTCTCATCATACCCTACAATTGTTCTTGTTTCGTGAAAATCGCTCGCCGTCTCGATGAAACTGCTTCATGTCGTCAAAGTGTTCATTTAAAATTCCTTGTTCATCAAATTCCATCGCATCAAAATGCATAAATGTGAACAATCCAAAGTGATCAATCACCGATCGATCATCAAAATAATCAAATTGTTTGTCGATCAATAAGCCACTAACATTTGTCGGGCATTTCCAGATCGGCTCCAGCATCAATGAGGCGTCCAATCAAGACAAGATTCTTCTTCCGGCATGCGATACCTAACGGTGTATCATTGTCTTTCGAAACGGCGTTCGGATTACAGTTATTCTGAATAATCCTTTCATTTTGTCTCATCGAATATTTCATTTATTCTCGATAGTTCACTTATTCAACCAACGTTGTTGGTTTATCTAATGTGCAATAATCACGAATCATTATTAAAAACCTAAAGGAAGGGGATTTTGTAACTAATACATTTCGATGTGACGGAGCATCAACAATGGCTTGTCATACTCAAACAAAGAGTCCAAAACACAGTCGATAAACCACAATTATGGAATCATAACACAACGAAAATCCTACCGATATAAGGAGGGATGCCGTGTCGATGTCATCCATGAGAAGTGCGCAAATGAGCGGTGTTTCACCGTGTTCATCCGGTGTATCCAACGGTGCACCAACTTCAACAAGCGCCTCCAACAGACCTAATTTTAGTTTTTGCACCGCAATATGTGCTGGTGTATAGCCACTAGCATTCTTTGCTGATAATGGATTCTCTGGTGTTGTTGCCGATGCTGCTGTTTGGGGAGACGACGATTCAGCACGAACACTTTCTGCAGTATGACCGTTGTGCTGTTGTTCGGAACTGTCGAAATGACTCTGTTCCAATATTTCTTTGTATATTGCATCGTTGTACACTTCACCAAGGTAGTGTATCACCTGAAGTGCATTCCAACTAAGAAATACAGTACCCGGTCAATCTGTCTAAAGACATTTAGCCTGAAGACAATTTGCCTAAAGACACATTGCCTAACGAACAATTCGCCGAACGGACAGTTTGCCTATTAGGCGAAATGAAATATCCATTGAAAAATAGTAAGTTGGGCAAACTGTCCGTTAGGCGGAATGTCCGCTAGGCAAAACGTCTGTTCGGCAAATTGTCCGTTAGGCAAACTGTCCGTTAGGCAACCTGTCTCCTAGGCAGTGTGTCTTTAGGCAAACTTTCGTTAGACTAAATGTCTTTAGACAGATTGACCGATCACGAGGAATACTAATCCATTTGTAACATATATGACAAATCTTGTCGGTTACCTTTTGTGTCCTTTCCGTCTAACAAAAAGAATACAAAACGAGATCGGCAATACTGTCTCTTCGTATGTATTCGATCCATTTAATTATTCCATCGATAATTCGTTTTCAGTTGCGGCGAACCTTTGTGGAACCTTATTTTGACTGTTCTATGCTCACTGATCAATATTTTTATGCAAAATGTTAAGCAACGAGCAACGAATTTAACGAACCGTATCAAAATTGTTATCGGGAATGTCGTACGAAGCACCTGCATTCAGCAGGTAATGCACACAGTCTGCATCGCCCGCTCGTACGGCACAATGCAGTGGTGTTTGTCCACGTAGATTTTGTGCATTCACAACCTGTGCCACATCGTTGGCGGCACAGCTTTCACGTAATGCCGTCAGCAATGTTCGTAGGGCAAAATTCTGCTTGTTACGAGCCGATATGTGTAGAGCACTGCAATCAAGGGCATATGAACACTCATAAAGCAAATCCTGATAATCATATGGGTACTTTCCAAGCGATGAGAACATTCATTTCTGAGACGCAATTGAATTCCATTACGACTGCAATCATGCTGCAATTAATCGTTGTGATAACGTACCATATTGATTGCTGACAAAAAAAAATGACAACTGCATTCGATAGAAAGCAATAAATGAAAAAATTATTACAACGTCTTTTGTCTTAGACGTACATTCAGTGTAGTTGGAACGTACACAAGTTGTTGGAACGTACACATTCAGTGTAGTTTATAGGTGACCTTTGATTGGTTGTGCTAGTGATGGATCTGCGCTCAACGGTCGTCACCGCAGCACTTACTTGGACTGGTGAAACGTTTGAGAAAAACGTACAAATACGAATCGATGCGAATGGCCAGATAGTGGATATTGGCAAAGAAATTGTCAACTCAAACGAAACACTCACTGATTTGGGATCAAAGGTGTGGGAAGTTTGATTCATTTCATTGGATCTGAATTACGTTTCCACCTCAGCTTGAATTTAGCGAAACAGCAGATCAGTTTATGATGTGAAATCGAGAAGGATTTGCAAGATAACATGCGATTTGAAGGATTTGAGAGATTTCACTCAAATCCATGAAATGAAATAGAAGAGCAAAAATCGAGATTTTTTTTGATGAGCCGATTTGATGGGCCATTGAAGATCAAATATGATAATCCCTCAAGCAGATGAAGGTTACTAGAGAAACTAAGTTCCGTCTGAAGAAAGCTTTCTATCGTTTTTGAAGTGGTAATATATCTGAATTAAGGTGTTACTACCGGGTTTTGTGAACGCACACTCGCATGCATTCCATCGTTTTATGCGTGGTCGCAGTCAAATTGGTTCACCGAGTAGCGACAGTTTTTGGAAATGGCGTGATGATATGTACTCAATGGTTGAGAACATCAACAGACAACAATTATACGAGGTTTTTGGTTGGGAATTTTTGATTTATCGCATTTGAATCTTACACAATTGAACGCTAGTTTAATCATTAGCTTTTTTCATCGCAAAAAACCTTCAAATCACTGTATGGCAGCGTAATTTTATAGAGCAAACATTCATGTCATCATTGTAAACGGAATTTTTTTCAGTCCATTCATACCTTTCCACATTGCTTGCACACAACAACATTAATATCACTTTTGGGTCTGTTTTTCTGGAAAGAAAAGACTCGTTTCGACGTTTCAAACGAAAATGTTTAAGTGCTTGTATTCATCGGAAATTGGAGAGTTCAAATGAACACTTGCAGTATGCCCTGGTAACATTCAAAGAAATGTTGTCGGCTGGTATAACGACAGTTGGTGAATTTCATTATGTTCATCACAGTGACGAGAAGAAATTCGACTTAGATTACGCGATCCTGGATGCAGCTAGAGATGCGCAAATTCGAATCGTTCTAATTGGTAATTTCGGCATTTTCATATGAATTCAGAATGAAAGCGAAAACTGATGTCAAAATTTGATCGCAAATGAACAAAAAGTGTTATTCATAACCTCATCGTTAAGAACGGATGCAAGCAATGGGAGCGTCTGCTGGATCGGTAATCGTAGACTTCAGTATATGATAGNCTCTACTGTAGAGCTGGTTTCGGTTCGGAGCAACTAGCGAGTGCACAGAAAAGATTTGTCGCAACATTTGATGAGTTCACTGATAGTGTGCAAAAACTGGATGAATATAAATCTGTCAATCAAACAATCGCAGTCTCAGGTAAGCAATCTATTATGCCACCTGTTAGCGTTCATACGAGAGCGACCCACTCTCGTTTCATCCAGTAATGATCATCATCAAAGCAGTAATGTACGTACAAATGAGTACTTTTGATTCTTCGCACATAGAACAAAATGAATAATTCAAAAAGTTTTGCAGCTCATTCATTGCGTGCTGTCTCCTTAGAAGATTGTGTCAAATTAAGTGAATGGAGCAAAACAAACTCGAAGCCGCTGCATATCCATGTTGAGGAACAACCAAAAGAAATCAGCGATTGTGAATCAGTCAACAACCTAACCCCATCTCAACTAATTCTCTATAGCATTGCTAGCGACGATGTGCTATTAACGTGTGTTCATTGTACGTTCACCTCTGCCAATGAAATGAGCGTATATGCACAACGTGGTACCAATATTTGCGTGTGTCCACTAACTGAAGGTATCATTTTTTGGTTTCGAAAATGAAACTATTGATGCTGTTGTTGTACTCATTCGACGCATGTGTGAATGATCGTTATCAAGCTGTGATATCACGTTGGCAAGTCTGATAGAATTAGATTCAGACGTGTTACTTCATGGCAATAACATCGCAAGAATGCGAAAATGAACTTACAGGATACTTGGGCGATGGTATCCCGAACATAGTAGATAATAATACGATTTGTTTGGGCACAGATTGTAATAACCGCATTTGTATGCTTGAAGAAATGCGATGGCTTGCGTATTGTCAACATGTTGGTTGCATTATACTTTCTTTGGCAGCGTTTTAGCTCAATTTTCAGTTTGGTACTATTTTGTCATTATTTCATGACGGGGCATTAGTTGTCACACATTCCTACACACACTGCTTAAGTATCACCTATACAATTTGGTCTAGGCCAGTGGTTCTCACATTCGGGTGCTCCATTACAACTTTCGATGATCTGGCAGGCCGCTGTTTCCCCCCCCCCCCTGATATAAGAATTTACTATATCTACGTATAACGCCAGGAATAAACGGAAAACCGGTCCGGAAAGTAACCGCATTTACATACACGATTTAAAGAACAACATCTATCATAACATAACAACTGCGTGAAATGCTAATTTCCAGACCCCCTCCATTATCCCTTGACACCTCCAAATTATCCAAATTGGGTAATTGCACTCCCTAGGAGAACCGCTGTTGTTGGCGTTTGAAAAACGGATTGGAAGAGAATGAGTGCGTTTTCACCGCAATGTATTGATTTTGTTTAGATGAAACGAAATTCAAGACGAGTTTGTGGACTGAATGCACGCAAATTATTGCGCATTGCGACCGAGAATGGGGCACGCTCGTTGGGACTGAAGGAGAGTGTGGGACGTTTTGAGGTGGGGATGCAGATGGACTTCGTTGGATTCGATTTGCTATCACACCGCATCAAGTCAATACCAGCTGATGAGATGCTGGATGCAATCGTTTTCGGTGCGGGTAATGATGAAATTTGCATGACGGCTGTTGGTGGAAGAGTTGTTTATGACAAACAGAACAGATCATAATACGAGTACGATAATTCCCAATATCAAGTGAATTCTATAGGTGGAACATCGAGCTATTTCTATTTTTTGTTGCGTTTTCTAACCGTTCTCTCAAACGTTTTGAGGTTAATAAATATTCGTTGCACTCAACTGACTGCCTTATGCGACTCTTATCAAACGAAGCACTAAAGGATGAAACTCGATAAGATGCTACTCAACGCGATCTTATCTGGTTTATGAACTATAATGAGCGCTCCATTTTAAGGGTTCTCTTATTCAGGCCATTCATACGCTAAGTTTTGCAAAATGTAATTTTTCATTATTTCTTGATGACGCATGAATTGAACTGTTCAAGAATCGTACTTTGCCAAGCAGAAATCCCTCATTTTCAAATACTTCACTGATCCACATGCTGATCAATTGGTGTGTTTCACAACGAAGTGACAAGCAATCGACACTAATGATCTACTGCGAAAAAGATCGAAAAAAGCACTCACTTGCATCCATCTGAATCTGTTTCATTGAGTAAATGGGCAAACGGTGATAGCAGTGCCAATGGATCACCGCCCGAGGCGAAATTAAATAGCGAACTTAACTGCGTTGATCGGAACTCTTCATTGTTGATCGCTTCAGTGGTATTCCTGAAAGGAAATGATTTCTCAGACGGATATCACTGATATTATTCCAGCTATTCATATTATACATGATTATGAGAATGATATATGAATTCATATTGCTATTCCTCATATGCTAGCACATGATCTTCCAAGACAGATATAAAAGAATATTTAGCAAGCACCTCACTCATGAACATTGCACCAATACGTCGAAGAAATACGACCGTTTTGAATTTCGATGTATTAACAATAAGTTTAAAATTCTACGAAAATTTTCTGAAATATTATTGGTTCGGAAACGTACGTCACACTGAGCTGAAATCTGATTGGAAGTATAATTTGTTGTTTGCCGCATTGAAGAATAATTTTCAAATTTGTTAACGATAATGGAGTATTTCCATGCGCAGCAATGACCTCTGGAGAACTCTCAACGACAGTTTCGGCCGTCGTTTTTGATTCAGATTCCATTTCGTTTGTTGACGGCGGTTGTTTTGCTGTTAGAATAGCCGTAGGATCTGTTGACGAAGATCCGGCAGCCCCAACATCTGACTCAGTTGCTTTTGAGTCGGCAACTTCGGCTACTGTTCTCTCGTTGCCGTTCCCGAGCTCCTCTGCTGAATTTCGTTGCTCTTTGCTGGATTCTTCGGCCGTTCTCAGCACATCTTTGGAATCATTGCTTTCAAACTCATCAGCACCGTTCACGACGTTTGCTGTTTGCGGTAATTGTCTGCTCTCAGCTGTATCACTTGTCGGGTGCAGTTGAGAGGGTAGTGTGAATATAACCAACTGAAATCATCAACGTTAATGTAGCAATAGGCAGTTTGCTGCATGAAATATTCAACTTTCATGTTGCATGTGGAACATTATTTTGTCGTTCATAATCACTTTAATTCAGTGTCCTTTTTTTCTCATTCAGTTGAAAGGAGTCGAACAGCACAATGTGCATATGACACGATGGAGATAAGAATGCGTACGTATAAAAGCAATTTCTGTTTTTTCAAACTATACGTGCAGCATCTTCTTTTTATCGATAACAAATTCGGCGTGTAATACGATTTCAATGAATGAAACTTGCTATATTCCTTAGAAAAATTTCTTTGTCATATCAAGCAAACGTTTAGGTTCTGATGAGGAGGAGATTTCCTCATGCAGTCACGAAGTTTATGGCACTGAGCAGTGAAATAAGCAAGGATTGATTAACTGCGTTGCGATGAAATGAACATAATTGTAACCTTTCCATAAAGTTTCACGGCATCGACTGGTTCCACACGTTTGCTGTCAGAGAGTACAACATTCAACTCAGTTGGTTCCTTGTTCAAAAGAACCCAAACAGTTTCATTTGGCTTCTCGATTACTTGATGACTCAACTCAACGAATACGAATGGCTCTGAAAAGAACGTCAATTGATACGAGATCAAGCAAATCCTTAACACATGAAAAACTAACATCACCTTGAATGAACTTCAAAATCGTGAACGAAAATGGTGTTGATAATGATTTTATGGAATGCAAAATATGCATTCGTGTACAAAAAAATCGCAATGAAAAGAATTCATACTAACCGTTATCAATAGTGATTTCATCTGAAAGGAGCGTTACCGAAGCATTTGGCGATGACGCTTCGATCATAATTTTGGCATTAGATTTCTGAGTATCACTCCAGTCAGCCTCATTGCATTTCTCAGGTATGTTGCCATTCAACGAGTCTGTTCCATTCATGCAGCTGCCAGCTTCAGTGGACAGTTCAGACTCCATTGAAGTGACTAGAGAGTGTTGCTGTTGTACAGCCATTTCCTCTATACGCAAACCTTCGAATCTGCAAAAGTTCAACGTAACACCACCTGACATTTCTTCTCTCCAAGCAGAAAGCATCAATCAAATATCATATTTACAACAACACTAAATGCTACGGAATAATATCCAGACAACTTTAAAAAAACAGTAAAACATAACTGCCTCAATGATCATTGAATCAGTAATCATTTCAAGAAGTCCTGATGATCTGATTTGAAATGGATCAATAAACGCAAAGAGATAGATCATTGTGCAGCTCGGCAAACGAGCAGAAAATAGCCAACGATAAACAGCAATAATAAGCAACAAAAATTCGAGAAGCCTACTTATAGGTGGTTGATTGTATGAATCGAGGGGATTGCTTTGGTTGAATTGTGAATCGCTTATGTGGCTTTAAGTCATTCGCATTGATTAGCAGCAATCGTAACTGGGTTGGTTGTCGAACTGATAACGACACTGTAATGCTGAATGCTGTTGATAAGCGAACGTTGTGCGGGGGTGGTTGAACAAAGTGAAGAACCGGTACACAACTGGTACCAAACAATGAGCCAACGACCATATTCCAGACAAGAACTCAGCAAAATCAACAAATACAAACTGTTTCACTCAAGATCGCACGGATGATCGAGAGCTGCTCAAGAGGTCGCTCGTGAAACAAATCCGTTCTACTCCACTCTTCTGCACAGATGATCCTCACCTCAACTACCCCTCTTCGTCGTTATACTAGCAAGCAGCAGCACTTTGAACAGCTGGTTGCATCTAGCTACTACTATGAGTTCGCTGAGTTCTTGTCCTTTTCTTTATCTCTACGCCATTTATCTGTTTCGTACATTCATTAATCTGCTGCTGCTGCATTTGATTACTTTCTAACTTCTTCTTCACTGGCTCAATTTAATATATAATGAGGTGAATGCCGGTGCTAAACTGAACTATGCATTACGTTGTTCAATTAAATACTGAACAGTAGCAGCAAGAACTCAATCGTAATGGCAATCGATTTCTAATTTGATTCTTATCTAACACAATATCATAACTAGCCTAAACCTGATCGATTCGTAGTACGTATCGAATTTTAGCACTTGAGATGATTTACGATGGTGGAAATGATAATGATCCATCCATTCATCGATTGATCCATTTGCAAACATATAAACAAAC